TGATTACTAACTATGGATACTTTCAAGATCGTTTTCATGATCAAGTTCTGTTTCTTCCAAACTTTCAAGCATAATCTCAACATAGTTCTGCACGGATTGCATGAACGAAACTTGGTATTCCACTTCCTTCACAAGCTAAAGAAAGAAACATTTATAAATTTACAGCATCGTCAATCACAACAAAAGCACTGACTGAGCTTCTATTTTACGGCTTTAAAATTGGCAAACATCGGAAATTTAGTTCAAATTTAAGTTCTCCAGAAGAGAATTGTTGAAGAACAGCTGCCGAACAGCTGCCTGGTAAAACTTTAGTCTACAAAAAAAGGACGCACGCATTATACAATAATAGTATATTGTACAAGCAATAAAGTATAATTTTCTTAACGTTATTTCAGGGTTATATGCTCACAAGTGGCGATGGCGACACCCGGCATACAGACAGTGGCGCTCGGCACTAACACCCAAATGGATCCTTCCGCCCGGCACTAATTTCAAATACGCAATACGAAAAAATTCAATAATTAAGGGACCGGTCATAAAGTAACTGCTAGGGTGGGCTGGAGTGATTTGGGATGGGCCATGGAAATTCTTTGGGCAGTTTTGATGGGCCGCCAATTTTTTTGTATGTCCACGGTTGGGCCACCAAACAAAAACCCATGCATGTCTACTTCAAAAAATAAAGATATTAATAATAAAAGTAAAAAAACTATCCAAATTATCAAATGCAAATGGTGCTATTGAAGCCAGTACTTTGTTTATACAACAACAAGAAGTGGTCGAATCACAGCAAATACAACCAACTGGAGAGCAGCTCAGAATCAACGTGTTGGTCAAGCTTGGTGGAATTAAGTATGTCAATACAGTGCATGCCGTGTATATTTACAATGTTCATACCCGCAAGTTTTTTTTTATTATAAAAGTGTATTTTCCCAATTTAGATTGGGTGGGTCATGAAAATTTTTTTGTAAGATTAGATGGGCTTTGAAATTTTAATCTACATCCTAAGATGGGTCACCGAACTTATTGGCAAAATTTGTGATTTTCTTCCAGCCCACCCTAGCAGTTACTTTATGACCAGTCCCTAAGGACTATTACAGTTGATTTCACGAAACTTTGGCCGCGCCAGTTGCGAGGTTGGTTGGGAATTTGGGAACTATAAACACGAGATCATCAAGTTGATTGGAAACCGGCCAATCAAATTCGGAAGTTTCGCATCAAATTATCGAAATTCGTTATGAAATCCGAACAAAGTTCGCAAGCAAGCTCGCAAATTGCAAACGATTTTGACGGTAAACTTATTGTATTAAACTTATTATAATTTTAAACCTGAAATTATTATTATGATATTATTTATTATTAAATGAATAAGTTTAATACAATACCTTTAGTTTTTAAAATTTACCGTCAAAATTGTTTGCAATTTGCGAACTTGCTTGCGAACTTGGTTCGGAATTTCATAACGAATTTCGATAATTTGATGCGAAACTTCCGAATTTGATTGGCCGGTTTCCAATCAACTTGATGATCTCGTGTTTATAGTTCCCAAATTCCCAACCAACTTCGCAATTGGCGTGGCCAAAGTTTCGTGAAATCAACTGTAAACTAATGTTAATAATTTGGTAAACTACCAGTATCAGTTGTATTTTAATTGTTGATTAATGATTTTATGTTACAGTAGTCTGTAAGTTGTTAACAATGACAACACATGTTTCATGCACAAGTTTAGTCATTATACTTTAATATTTGTTTTAATTATATTCATATTAATAGTTTTGTTTGTGGAAACACCACGTAAATTTATTATTGCAGTTTATTGCAGTAATAAATTTACGTGGTGTTTCCACAAACAAAACTATTATATTTTATCACCATGCAAACATACAAAGAACTTATATTCATATTACACAATCACACAGCCAATTATCAATAATAGTGTCAGTTATTTAATTGTAAGATACGATTTATATTATATTGTTGCTTGTCAGATCATTTAATACAATTTCACTTTTAGTTGCTCCAATTATCATTATCATTAGCAATAGTAAAGCCCAAAAATATTTCAAGCAAGCCCAAAAAAATTTCAAAGATTTTTCGTTGGGTGGGTGGCGCACGGCAGGTCATAAGTTTAAGTACCTGGCACTCACATGAACCTGGGCAGAACCCTGCGTTATCTGGATGGTTAAATCAGTAGAACCTCCCACGGCTCAGGGGCGGCTTTAAATAGAACGTATAGACGAATACCCATGATTCGGGTTTGCATATTATATACCGGGTGTCCCGAAAAAAGTTATGCCGTTTGATTTGATGTAAACTTAAAAATTATAGACTGACAGCTAGTAGTAAACTCAAGGAAGTATTAACTTCTTGAACTCGACAGACTGGAAATAGTATTCGAAGTTCTAGTAAAAAGTGTAGAGGATTACGAGAGTGTAAACTCACGTAACTTGGTCTTGACACAAGGAAAAAAGCAGCAAAATCCCCTATATTATAGCTTCAGCCGTTTCCTTACAGTAAACACTTTTATTAGGGGTTATACCAAAAATTATATTAGGGGTTATACAAAAAATTATACTAGGGGTTATACCAAAACTTATATTTAACAGTTATTCTACGAACTCAAGTCGAATATGAGCTGATAGCCGATGAGGCGCGTAGCGCCGAATCGGCTATCGCTCATATTCGACAAGGTCTGAATGCACAGACTTTGCTTTTCGGATATTTTCAATATTTTTCTATTTTGTTTTTGTTTTTATCTTCGCTGTTTCGGCCGATTATTTCTTCAAAAATATATATTTTTAACCATTTTAAATTTTAAAAATTCATTTGCTAACCTGTAAACAATTTTTGGGAATTTTTTCATTGTTTTTTTAATCCTGTAGAGGCTACAAAAAGCGAACAACTTGCCGTTTTCTCGTTCGCAAAAATCGGAAATTCAGTTTGAGCCGCCATTTTGTTTTTCTCTACTAGTAGGATATGAGCTAATATCCTGCTAGTAGAGAACCAATCAGATTGCAGAATACCTCATATCCAGACCTTGTGTATATAATAATAGGAATTAAACCAAAAATTATATTAGGGGTTATACTAAAAATTATATTAGGGGTTGTACCAAAAATTATATTAACTTTAAAGATATATTTTGTAACTCCTTACCTCGGTATGTGTAGCGTCATCGTTAGTTAACAACTTGCTTTCTCTTGCTGATGGTGGTCGTGGTAATGATTTATAGATATCTTTATAATGTTCTTTCATTACTTCTGACAAACTATTCATGTAACACAACAATTTCTCTGTATTGGAATCTAACAACAGCAACGATTCGGTTATCTGGAGTAAACATAAATAAAACACATTGAAAATTACGCACTTGAATAAACCGTTTCCTTTCGAACAGGACATCGCATGCATTTATTTTAGAATATCACAAGATGAAAGAACCAACAGTAGCCATGTTTCGGTGATCTATTAAAGATTCATTTCTATTAATAAAACGATAAAATGTTGTTTTGCATTCCTTTCCAACAGCGATTCAAATGCGGCAATAGGCCATTTCCGAATATAGATCTTATCCCATACCTGTGTTAAAAGCGGCTTTCCGATTGGTTTAGAGCAGGTGAGCTTGTCGTCGAGCTCACCTGCTTTTGCCGAACTCACCTGCTTTTCGCCCGAACTCACCCGCTAAACTGCTTACGTTGCAATAACAATAACAAATATGGCGGACAAGATTTAGCCGATAAACCTAAACTTTAAAGAACTTTTTTCGGTGACTAACATACTGAGACTGAAGAAAAACCAAAGAAAAAATGCAATAAAGGTAATGTAGACGTAGCTAAAGAAGTATTTTCTTGCCCAGTGATTTTTTTGGCCGGGAAAATGTTCACAAAACATCGACGAATATATCGCGAAGAGCTACAAATGTGTGTATGGCTTGGTGTATGGGATAAAAACCAAACGTACTTGCAGGTTCGGTGAGTCCGGGATTGGACGCACCTCGGGTGGCTGGAAGTTTCCCGAACTCACCTCGCTTCGCTCGGTAAGTTCGGGAAACTTCCAGCCACCTTCGGTGCGTCCAATCCTGGACTCACCTCCCTGCAAGTACGTTTGTTATAGAGTCAGGAAAAAATAGTCGAGCACGAGAGTACCGCCAGCAGGGAATGTTAAACAGCTGCAGGAAATGTTTAAGATTTGACACTTGAAAATTTAAAGGAAACATTAACACATATGTTCCACTCTGGGTCCAACAACATATGACAGACATCGTTCCCTGAATTTCAAACTATGGTCAGGCCATCAATTGATCTGCATCATCTGCACATTAATTGATCAATTGATTTTCATCCAGGTTGTGCTCCCAGGAAGAAAATTATTTATCCAGCCCTGGGTCGAGTCACTGTGATCAAGATATAAACACATTGCTAACTTCTTATATATTGGATGAGGCAATGATGGAGGATGAAAGAGGATGAGCTATTATGTATCAACGCAAGATCGATGCAAGACTGGTTATAGAAATATAGCATTACGATAAGGCTGGGGTTAGAATAGAAATTTCGGGTTAAAGGTATATTACACGACGCAATCTGTCGGAAAAATCTTTCGGAAAGATTATAGGCTGTTTCGTGATTTTTTTGTTCTCCAAAATATTGCGAGGCAAATTACAGAGAGAGTATAGGCAGCCCAAAAATGCATTTGTCTCTTTTATGTGGTCTCATAGCTTGGAAAGGTTTGGAAAGCTCGCGCGTGAAAATCTTTCACATTCTCGAGCGTGCATATATATGTACGAGTCTATTTTGTTTATTATTATGACAAGGTTGGCAAGATTTTTCACGAAAATTTATAACAACGTTTACTAAAGTATGAATATTTCGCAAATTACAAGCAAAAACAATAAAAAATCTACATCATTTCTACGTTCTCCCAAAGTTTTAACTTCAAAAGGTCAAAAAAGCGAATTCCACTACGAAACGCTTCTTCAAGATTTAAATCAGCGCTTCCTGAACATTTAAAAAATATGACATCACTAAAGGGTGGGTGACCCCAGCATAGTTTTGACAAAGTTTTGTCAAAAACCCGAAAAGAATTCGCTTTTCTAACATCCTTAGAATGAACTTTTGAAGTTAAAACTTCGTGGAAGAACTTAGTAAAATTAATTCCAGTGTTTGAAATGATGTAGATTTTATATTGTTTTTGCTTGCAATTTGCGAAATATTCATACTTTAGTAAACGTTGTAATAAATTTCCGTTAAAAATCTTGCCAACCTTGTCATAACAAAATAGACTCGTATTTTTTACGCGCGCTTTCAAAACTTTTCCAAGAGACAAATACCACGAATTTTGGGCTGCCTGTGGATAGAGTTCAACTTTCTCGGAAACTCAACAACACAATTTTGCATTGCAACATTGCTAGCAATATAATAAAAGACTGGATAAAGGGATAATGTTGACATCGCTATGGGCGCCAAAATGACAGAGGAATTACAACAAGCAGTAGAGATGTGGGACAACAAACTGGCAGTACATGCCAGGTGATCTCGTGTCCGAATAGAAATCCATTTTGACGTATTCAGTCAATTATATCTTTCGTTATTCTTTATGAAACTAGTTGAAATTTTGTAATTATGTTTGGTTATGAGAACTATAGCTCTGACAAAAATATGGAATCGAAATAAAGTATATTACAGGAGATATTCAGTTGTTTTAATCATAAAATGTATTTCTATTTGACAACTAGTGCCAGTACTTTTCCGCGTATCATTCAAGATCATCTGGTGGTATGAGGATGAGCAAGAAGAAGGCGGAAGTACTAGAAGTCTCAAGAGGGCAACCAGTGCCAAGGCTGGAGATTATAGTGGATGTACAGCAACTGAAACAAACAACAGCCTTCATATACCAAGGAAGCTGGTAACACGAGAGTGGATATTTGGACAGAGATTACAGGCAAGATTGCAGGGTACAGGGAATACATGGAGGAGTGTAAGTGGAATAATACACGATAAACGGATGCCGATTAGACTGAAAACACAGGTGTAACAAGACGAGAAAGAATGAGAAACGTATAGGCATAAGACAGGAATTGAAGGTGATAGAGCTGAGAGAGAAGATTGGAGAAAGTAGACTGAGATGGTACAGGCACGTGAAGAGAATGGAAGTCAAAAAGCTTGTTAGATGGACAATGGAGCGTAAGGAACCAGGAACAAGGAGTAGGGGTCGACCAAGAAAACGATGGATGGATTGTGTTCGGGATGATGGGAGAGTGGTGGATTTGGACAAAGTCAACGACAGAGTAGAGTGGAGTAAGGTATCGAGACGACCCGACCCGACCCCCCCCCCTTGAGGGGACAAACGGGATGATGATGATAAAGGGATAATGTTGTACATTTGTGCAAACAAATGTGAAGGGAATTTACATATACAGGAATTATTCACCGTTTCGTTTGTTCCTTGAGACAATTCTTTTGACACTGTCATGTTGTCGTCATCACTCAGAATAAGAACACGTTTTTGATTCTAAAAATAAAGTTACCATCTCAAATAACAATACTTAAAAATCTCAAACATAGGGATGCAGTATAAATACTGACATATAATAAGTTGTCGTTGATCTATTATGTATCAGTTGGTTGTTTGCATGAGACAGTCCTCGATCGAAGGGCTAGAAACCAGTGTTTTAATCTTTTCAGGTTTTGACAAAACTACAGCATCTTACAAAACCTTATCAGTTCATGATTTTGTTAGCATCTCACTCGATTGAATAATAATTGAAGGATCCTGGTTAGGTCTAACAAATGTATATAAATTTCCACCCGATAACTTCCATCTACAAGATCCTTCAACCTTACCAGTTGTTTAAGTTGATCGACCAAGTGATCTTTTTCTCCCTTCAATTTTCTAACTTCTTGCTCTCCTTGAATTGTTGGATTTTGTTCCAATATGGCGATGTTGGTGTCTCTTTCCGATATTGTCGCAAGAAGAGCGTTTTGCCTGCAAAACAAAATAATTTATTTTTAATATTGGGAAAATGCTGATTTATAACTGGTTAATGCGATGCATTACTCTGTGACAGTGCTGCACGACAGTTAAATACCGATGGAGTTATAGACATGAAAATTGGACATAGAAAATAGACATGTTCATATACAGGGTGTATATAACAGGCCAACCGTCATCCAGTCCAGTCATGTCTAGTATTTTCTCTCACTTAAATACTACAGGGCACTCTACCAACTTTGACGACTTCAAAATTCTTTCCTCTTGCTCAGACACTTGTGAATTATTGATTCACGAAAGCCTTTTTATATCTAAACTCAAACCTACTCTTAACGTCCAGGGTAGCTCTATTCCGCTTAACCTTCTGTAATTTGCCGTTTTCTTGTGTCTGTTTTGTTTCCTCATTTGTATCGTCCTGTCTTACGTACACCCTCTTATCCTTTATTATCCTTAGTAACATAACACCTTGTAAATAGATTATAATTAGCTTATATATATTCACATCTCGTGTAATTTTATCTAGTCTGAAGATGTCTTAAGTTAAAGACGAAACGTTACAATTAAAATTCTTTACAATCTTTTAAAACTGTTTTAATGGCTTTGTTAAAAGTTATATGTTGGGCTCTCATATTTATTGTATAAAAAAAGGTAATCCAACTTTGACAGGTTATCGTGTGTTACGTTTACAGGCTTTCTGTTTTCGTATTTATTATTAGCATGACAAAATTACTGGATGCTGATTGGTTGAGAGGAGTACAATTATTTCATTAATTGTACTGCAGTACAATTAATGATTTTCCCAAAACAAACAAAATGGCGGAAAGGTGTTTTAAACACAGATGTGAAATGAAATTGCCCTAGAGGAACAAGATGAAAAGACGAACAAAAGCAACAAATTTTGCTATAACAAAAGAACTAAATGAAAATACGAACAAAAGCACAAAATTTTGGTTGAAAGTATGGCAGGACTGGGCTTTGGCGAAAGAATATAATGTTGACATTGAAAAGTATCCAATTTTGTCATGCTAATAATAAACAAGTAATCATGCAATGTTGCTCGTACAATTAGGGATTAATAGTACTCGTGATGTTTGGAAATTTCCAAACATCACTCGTACTATTAATCTCTAATTGTACTCGCCATCGCATGATTACCTATACTTATAAAGATCAGGCTTTTAGCTGTCAAATGACAGCTTCATTGAATCATTGCGATAAAAAAATGACCAAATACGATCTGATTTGGGTTGGCATGTTATCGTGAGTTATATATTACGTTTAACCATTTACTTTTTTCAAACCAATAACGATCAGGCTTTGAAACACGAGACGAACATTTTTTTGTTAGGGTGGATTCCCACCAATGAAACTGTCTAGAGCAAACGTGGCAAATATTTTTATTTCGTCTGCATTAAAACTACCGGCGGTATTCTCCACCATAATGCATTGCCGTCGTATGGACTCTACTATAGATGAGAACTTCAACGTGTTAAACTGAACGAGATACAAATACACAATTAATGCACGCGAGATTGCGCGCAAAGAATGGAACCATGATCAAAGATTAGATACTATAAAGATGTGCCACTCGACGTATTTCCCTAATATTTGCGTGTCCGTAATTTTCACTTACTGCCAAAATGGCGGCGAGACTGATGGCGTTGGATTTTACTATTTAGAGACTGATGGCGTTGGATTTGACACTTACTGGCAAAATGGCGGCTATAAAAAAAATCTCGGACATAATTTTCGCAGAGTGGCACATCTTTATCGTATCTAATCTTTGCCATGATGAACCATCCATTTCGGCACAACAACTTACTTCATTTCCAAGACCTCAGCCATCATCTTCTTCTTGTCATTGCGATAATACGATAACGCAATATCTCTTTCGCTTAATGATAAAATTAGCGAAGCATTCTTCGTATTCGTCACTGTATTTTCAATTTTCATATTTGCCAGTTCAACTTCCAATTCATAATTTTTGTTAGTTTGTTCATGAAGCAATCTTTCATTCTCAGAAACACTGTTTACAGTTTCTTGAAGAGCTTCTTCCAAAATTGCTATACGGTCTGTTTTGCCATCAACATCGCTCTAATGAAAAGTAAATAATTTATTGTCTTATGTTTGCGATGTTACTCTGAGTGTATATCCACACCGGGGAGACATGAAAACTATGCCTGGCCACGGTGGGAATCGAACCTACGACCTTTGGAATACTAGCCCAATGCTCTACCAACTGAGCTACGCGGTCAGGTCGGTTCGAGTATGTGATATTTCGGAACTGAGTCTAGTTCCTTCGATATCTATGTAATGAGTACATTGCACCAACACAAGAAAATGTCACAATTTATTGTCTGCAACCATTTCAATAAAATGCATATTGGCTGAGTGTACTGGAATTTTATTGACATAAATTGACAAAATGTAATTCAGGGGCAGTTGTTCGATAACGGGTTAGCCTAATCCTGGGTTAGCCTAATCCTAGATTAACCTAATCCTAGATTAACCATGCAGCTAATCAATCTTCAAAATCAAATGGAGCTTAGTCTATGCCGACGCAGCCATTAACTCCAGTCTTAGATAAAACTAGTCTTAAATAAAACTAGCTCACCGATTTTTGGAGTTGTTAGCCAGTCACTACAAGTTAGGATAGCGAATTCCAAAGTCTTCACTTGTTACTCCAGAATTCTTAATTCAACTCAGTTTGAAGAGCACATTTTGAATTTGGAGTTAGCGTCTTAACCTAAGGAGGTAGCGTCGCTCCATGGCTGCCTGCAGGAACGAGGGTAACGATCAGAGCAAACTTCCCAACATCTTGTTTATAAACATAGAAATGTTTTCCAGAAATCCTATCTGGATCAATGGAAGTTTAGAAATACACAAACTAAAACAGCAGTTTAATGCTTACTTTCTAAATAAGGTTTGAACTGTACGAGGCAATCGGGCGGCTGTTCTTGCAGCCTAGGTTTGAAAAACCGGCCTCAGTTCCATGAACGTTATTCGGTACTAATTTTTAAATTTGTGGAGGAAACGTTTTCATATTCATTAAATATTATATAGACAAAACACTTTGATAAAAAGGTTGTCTTCATCATCATCATATAAACGTAATATTCGTATTTTTCGTATTTGACGAGCATATGTGCACTGATTTATTTAGGTAAGATGTTGAAACGGGAAGAAATTACGGGTAAACATGCTGACATCAGCAAAAATTGGTAAACAAAATGGCGATACTCGTACGCGTAAACCGGAACTGGGGTATCCTCGCTATTAAATATAACACGGCCGCTCGTACTTAAATATCATACTTATACGTCTATATAATTAACAGTTATTCTGTGAACTCGAGTCGTATATGAGCTGATAGCCAACGAGGTGCGTAACACCGAGTATCAGTCATATACGACGAGAGTGAGTAGAATAACTGTTTTATTATATAGACAACTACGGCATTTACACACTCATCTGTATGGCAATATTTTGACAATTAGTTCGGCAATCCACACAACTTGGCCTAAACCTGAGAAAACACTGCTGCTCGCTTTTTAAATCAGTATACTTGGAACATTGCTAAAACTTGAAATTTTTATATATTGAATATTTTTAGACAAAACAAGTGCTTGTTAACTTAACTTCTATAAAGAGTTTTTGCTTTTAAGGTGGCTCGATATAGTTATCACAAAAACCCTGCTCAAGAATCGCGAACTCAAAACCGAGTGACCATTTTTACGCGCAGGTCGCGGAAACTGATAAACAAAATGAAAAGAACTTCCAAAATGACCTGACGTGAGCAGTTGCTGGCGCCATATCACGCCTTTGCGCGTGTTCTATAGTGTTTTATGTCAATTGCTGACGTCATTAGAATTTTCCATTTTAGAAAAACAATGCGCTATATCTCTTTATTTTGTCTGGTGACCTATGTTCAAATTTTGCATGCTGTATTGCACCGCTAAAAACTTTCATTTTACAAAAAATAAAAAAATTCTGTAATGCCAAAAAAATTTTATCGAAGAAAACGACATTTTTGCATTTTCCAAAAAAATGGCATTACAGAATTTTTTTATATTTTGCTAATTGTTAGCTTTTCGTCCAAGTAAAATAATGCAAGAAAAAAAATTGGGGGTCACCATGCTTCTTTTCCAACAAAACGAGACGATAGGCCATTTTGGAGTGAATTTCGTACGCGTATGTCGTCATAGCAACGAACTATCTGTTACTAAAACTAATAAAATTTGAAAGTAGAGATATCAAAATATATAAAAACAACAATATCTGCTGAATAAATCATAAAAATGCGTAGTTTGAACATGTCAAAGTGTTGAACACCTGAATTTTTGAAAATAGTATCGAGCCACCTTTTTCCAAAACATTTCTTGTTTAATATTCGCTCTTTTGGCATTATTATTTTTCAAAAACATATATTTTTAACCAGTTTAAATATAAAACATTTATTTGCTAACTTGTAAACAACTGCTGGGAGTGTTTTCATTGTGTTTCTATTCCCATGAAGGCTATACAAAGCGAATAACTTGCTGTTTTCTCGTTCGCAAAACTCCGGTAATTCTTGAGTCGCCATCTTGTTTTCTCTACTAGCACGATATGAGCTAATATGCTACTAGAGAGCCAATCAAATTGCAGGAGAGCTTATATCCGGTAGCTGTCTATATAACATGACCTGATATTTTACCTTCATCTCAATTAGTTTTCCATTAGTGTCATCCAACTGTTGCTTCATCTCACTCATTTCGGCTGCATGACGTTCTCGCTCTATTTGTTGATTGCGTTTTGTATTGGCAACTTTCTTTGCTTGTTCTCGTAATTGTCTAAGTAGAATACGTTACAAACAAATGAACAATAATTTATTACCATGCGAATATATTAAGCGACAATTTGTTTCACAAAATCTTGCAAATTGTTTTGTCAATTACCAAACATTTACTTATGAGTCCTACACTAGGAACATAATGCAGCATTACAATTCCATGGGAATTCCATGAACGCGTAATTGGGAACTTCGCAACGAATTCAACGACGTTGAAAAAATGAGCTGAAATCAACTGTACTGAATGTGCATACTATAATACCCTTACTTGTCTAATTCGTCAATTTTCTCGTTCTTTTCCTTCATTTCATTGAGTAAACTCTCATTTTTACCACCTTGCTCTTTCGATAAACGTTCAAATTCTTTTCTTGAACTTTCCAACTCCGCTTCTAACTGAGATACCTCTGAAGTCAGTCTTGTTACTTCTTCATTTTTCTAAAATGATTGTAATTTTTTAAAATAATATGAACAAATCGGAAACGAAAAATTCCATTCATAAAAACGTTTAAATATTATAATCCACGCACTTGCATCCACCATACCAAATTCATTAGGAATGACCTTTGTTATGATAAAACATTGAACATGGGGTCGTACTCGGTGTTGATAAAGGAAACTGTTGTTGATATATTCGTCTGTCTGAGAAATATAAAAGCGGAAAATTCCGACATTTCGAGTGAAGGCCCTTCATCATGAGAGTTGGCAGGAAGTTTGAGACGTCGGAATCGTCTGCTTATATATTTTCAAACTGAGGAGTAATGACAACCATTTGCTTTATATTAGTAAACAGACGCTCTCTGACCAAATCATTTTATATTTAATTACAAGCTTTTAATAACGACGGCTATGAGTTACATGAAATATGACACTACAGGGTGTATCAAAAAAAACTGAACAGATTTGAAATTGCTCTCAATTTCGCAAAACACCTATTTGTATCTGGTTTTTTATATATATAGCTTCTTTGGGTACTTATAATGTAAAATAATGAAAAAAATTTCTCGAACTCAAATTCTGTGAACCAGGGGGGGGTGTCTTTCCCAACAAACTAAAAATGGCTCGCGCACAAAATTTAAAAGCTGTAATCATATTTTGAGTTAATAGATTGAACATTTGTCGGGTTTTTAATTAC